TTCATTTTAATAAGCCATCTTTTAAAAATCTGTCTCAAGATGGGTTTATTGCAACATCTTCAATGCCAAGGATCTGTTCTTTTATTCAGCAGATATTTGCTGTGTGCTTTTCTGAATGGACTCTGGTGGGATCTTGGAGCTGAGTCAGGCTCAGTGTTCCTGAGTCAAGGAGCTGGGATCACCGCCCAGGGATGTGTGTGTATACTGTGAGTGCAGGTGCTTCCTCATGTGTCTCTCTGATGAGAGCCCAGAACACAGCACATGATTTGCAGCCGGGTCCCTATAGCATCAGGGTTCCAGAGGAGGAAGTAAACATTTGGTTCTGCAGGATAGCAGTTTGCCGTTGGCTGTGGATATACTAGCTTGGTTTTCTGGAGTGAATTGAGAGCTGGAAACCACGCTTAGCTCCCTGTATGGGCATCAGCATGCCAATCTTGAAAAATTAGAGAAAAAGCCCAATAGCCCCATGGAACCAGTCACCCTAGGTGGCTACATATCTGATACAGAAAAGCATGGTGTACCCATTATCCTAGGAACTCAGACCAGAGTGTGAAATCTCCTAGCTGTTGACCTTGAGCAAGTTGTCTAAGAGCTTAATTTTCCTTATCTGAAAAGTGGGGCTTACAGGCCCAGCTTCTAGTCTCTTGTGCCTGTTCATAGCATGGAAAGTCACATGGGAAGGGCAAGTGTTCAGCCCATGCCAGCCCTGTCCTGGGCCCATTTTCCCGATGCTGTGCTGACTCTATTAGATGGATGAGCTCTAATTGTTCCAACACATCTGAGTTTCACAGACCCTTGTCTCAGGGCCATAAATCACTGGGCATCATCCCCACGGTTGGCTAGGATGTCCTTCCCCTGGCTGGAACTGGCTGTGGGAGGGGGGACCCTGAGCATATCTGAGACCTGCTTTTCTCCATTGGTTTTGAAATCTCTAATGGAGAGTATTACTTACTCAGCAATTCCAGTGGTTCCCTTTGTAGCAGCCTCTTGTCTGCCCAAGGGCAGCCTCCCTCCCTTCCTCTCCACCTTGCTCCCAAATTAAAATTCTTTAAAGGAGTAGAGCACTTTCTCTAGACAACACATACACGAAATTTTCCAGTACCTGTTTTGGTACCACTCAGGAGCATTTGTCATTTGGACAAAGGTCTCTGTCTCTCCAGGACATATGTGTTCTGTTTACAGAAGAGGAGTTTCTTTGGCTCAAGAGCATCAGTTAACAGATCCAAATGTCCTCTAGTCTGCAAGTTTTCTCACTCTGTTCTAACTACTGAACTATTGAACACCCCCTCCCAAGTCCCTGTCTCCTTGCTGCTCCTGGACATTTGCTTTTACTATTCTCTTAGCCTGAATGTCCTTCTTTGGGCTATTTATGGGGCTGTCTTCTCATCACTCAAGTCTCAGCTTAAATGTTACAGAGAAACTTCTCTGACCATTCCCCAGCCAAAACTAAGCCAGCACCCCCCCAATGTTAAACTCCTCTGTGACATACAATCTATTTTCTTTCTCAGAATTTTCATGGTTTGTGAAGATATCTTTAGGTAATGGCAAATTCAACAAATATGTGATCCTCCCCTGTACCCTGCCTGTCAGTACCGTGAGAACAAGATAGTCATCTTCGTATCCCCAGTGCCTTTCTCAGTGTGTGGCACATTTGGGCTCTCAACAAATAGATGTGTTCACTGAATAAATAAATGGATGGATGCATTGATGAATAGACGGATGGGTGGTTGGGTAGATGAATGAATGAGTGAATGGATGAGTGGAAAAATGGCTGGGTGGGTGGTGGTGGAGGAATGAATTTGTGAATGAGGGAATTAATGAGGAAATTCTAAGGTAGTAAGCAAAAGTTTGCTTTTCCTTTGATGACCTGAGAATGAGTGAGGAACACACTGCTTCTTGGATGGGCAAGGGGCTGAGGAACCTTCCTGGTCCCTCACATCTCCATGGATCCAAACTTTCCTCACCATCAGTGTTTCTGAAACCTGTATTTGTAACTTTTCCTGCTCAGTGGTTTGCCTTCATCCTCTGCTTTAAACTTCTCAGTATAAAATTTTTTGAACATACAAAAGAAAAGAGAATTGCAACAACCCCTCACATAACTTTGACACCATCCCCATGATGGAATATTTAAAACAAATCCTAGGCATCAGTTCATTCAACACATGAATAGTTTAGGCGATATTTCTAGTAGATAAGGGCTTAGCCACAGTATCATTATCACATCTAACAAGATAAGAAGCAACTCCTTTAGTATCTAATATTTGGTCAATATTCAAATATTTCTGATTGACTCAAGAATGTGTTTTTATATTTAGTTTGTCTGAGACATGCTATAAACATTGCATTTGTTTGCTAGATCTCTTAAATTTCTTTCTAACATCCCTCTTTTTCTTCTCTCATTTAAGAATGTCATTTATTTCTCTTTTTGAACAGTGATCTATTTCTGGGTGAACCTGGGTCTTCTGTTCTGCTGACAGTTTTGCATTGTGGGTTCAGCTGTTACCTCTGTGTGGTGCTGCTTAGCTTGTTCCTCCATCCCCTGTGCTTCTGGAAAACTGGTAGCCAGATGCCAAGGCCTGAGCAGAGTCATATCCGACCTTTGGCTAGAAGCCTTTGTAGATGGTGTTGTGTTCTCCTTGTTGAATTACATCTGAATGTCTAGTCATCTCTCCTTTAATGATGTTAAGATCAAGCTGTGGCTCACTCTGTCCTTTATTGGCTCCTACTCCCATCTCTATTTCCACTGCTATATGAACTTGTTTTGCAAAACAAGTCAGTTGAGAACACTGATCATTTTGAGCAGAAGTGGGAGCAGCAAGGACTAATGACAAATACACTGATTTAAAGCACCAGCCCAGGTAAGAAGCATAATCTCTGCAGCTCAGTTCTCTTGAATATAAGATGTGGCTCATAACAGTAGTTTTGAGAACTAATAACTGGGATAGATATTTTGTGCATAATCATCAGCACACAACATTATGTACTTAGAGTGTAGTTATTCACTTATCCTTCAAAAATCTCATGAAGCATGTTCAAGTATTGATCCCATTATACAAATGATGAAGAGGAGACACAGATAGGGTAGGTAACTTGTCCAAGGCTGCATAGCTAGTGAAGGGCAGAGCTAGGATTCGCACCCAGACAATTAGGCTCAGAGCCTGCGTGTGTAAAACACAATGCTGTGCAACATACATGACATCAAAGGTAGTTCCCTGCTCTCCTCCACACTGGGTGTTTGTTGAGCCATCACCAATGGGTACCTGTTGGTCCCACCTTGAAGGTAAGCACAGGATGGAATAAAGTAGTCCCAGTTACTGTGTTTCACTCTGAGCTTTCACAAAGTCCTATCTCTCCTCTGCCTACTGCTGGATGGGCCAGAGCTGAACAGCTTATGTGCTAGAGGGGGAACTGGACAGCATAAGTTTCCATCTTCATTTGGGTGGGAATTTATCTCCCTGCGAAAACTTATCTGAATTCCTGAGAGGTTAAGTGACTTGCCTAAGATCACATAGTAAGTTTGCCATGGAGCTAGAATTAGAACCCTAGACTCTCAGCATGGGCAATCGTGTCTGGATGCCCTGCCCCTCCCATTCCCAGGGAGAGGGGTCTGTCCCTTTGCCTCCCCTGCTACACTCCTCACAGTCAGGTTCATTGCAGTGCCTCTGGGGAGAGACATGGACAAACATCCCTTCCTAAGTTGCTGCAGCCTTTTAGGGCTTGCCTGGCATATCAGAGACATTTACTTCTTGTCACTGCTATAGATGTATGAGTCTGCCGACCTCACCCTCCTGAAGGCATTCTGAGAACTTACTCTCCTGTCTCCTGGCCTCACACTGGAACCAAAATCAAATAAATGTGCACAATCTGGATTTGAACCTAGTTCTTTTGATTCCAAGTTCTGAAAGAGCCAGAAATAAAAAGTAAGCTCATGATTATCAATAACAGTGTATCTGCCATGACACAGCCCTGTATTCCAGATGAGGGAAGTGAGGCTCAGAGAGGGGCAGTAACTTAATGAGTTTATACAGCTTCAGCAATGTACAGGCTGCTGCAAAAGGGCTCAGTTCCTCCTCCTGTGACTCAGGAGGTTCAAAGAGTGGTTTCCTATGGAGCTCACACCTAAATTCAGACCCAGAGGGCACCTGGTGAGCTCAGGATGCTCCGGCTGGAGGCTGGGGGTGTTTCTCAGCCAAGTGAACCAGCCCATTGCCTGTAGTCTGGCCCATCTGATTACAAAGGCCAAGACAATAATTGAAGATGGCTTTGGGTTCCCTGGGTAGGAGCTGGCGCCAATGCTCAGTGGCTCTGTTGGCGCCTTGAGCCCTGGGCATTCGCTAATGGACTGTGGCTGATCTCAGGACTGATTGGCAGCCGGCCCCTGAGGTCCTCAGGGAAATCCTGGAAACTATGGTCTCCAATTTGGAGACATTGTCCCTTCTAAGAGTCATGGGATGGGGATGGGGTATCCTGTTGATCCAAGGCAGAAGTGCTTCTGAGCCAATGAGTGAGATGAACTGAGACCCTCTGCCTCCAATCACCTGGCTGTAACATGAGTGTGGGATCCTAGACTGTGAAATACAGCAAGCTGTCAAAATGCTGACCTCTCATTCCCTCTGTCCATGCCTCTTCACCCTTCCTCCTGGGCTGGACAGTACCATGCTTCTGCCAGATGGATAGCAGGCCAGTAAGAGTGCTCAAAGTTGTTCTCAAATAACACACTGGGGTGGAGATGACCCCAAGGTCAGCCAGGCCATCGTCACTCCCAGGATAGAGAAAAGAAGAATTAACACTTCTGGAGATCTCTGAGGCCTAAGGGCTCCCTGACTATCTGAGAAGGGCTTTCCAGGCCCAGGGCACAGTGTAAGCAGCAGCACAGAGGCACAAATGAACACAAGGAGGATGACACAGGAGAACCAGAGGCAGAGCACTGGGTGGTTGGGGGGCGGAGAGAGACTAGAGAGGCAGACCTTGAAAGCAATAACAGAACTTTCAGATCCTACCTGGTTGGTGGTCGGGATCGACTGAAGGCCTTGAAGTGAGCACAGAAGAGAGGCACCTGGGGTCTGCCCAGAGTCATGGCTCGTTTTAAAGCACATTAGGCAGGGCAAAAGGCAAATGCAAAACTGTGCATCTGACCTTTTCCTAGGACATTCGATATTCATGCGCTTTGCGCATCATCCAAATTTTATTCATTTACCCAAAGAGTGAGAAAAAGGCGTTTTAGGAAACTGTTATAAATCCAGAGCAAGTCACCATGGTAACCTGATTAGCAGCTAAATTAAGTTCATGATTAAGAAGAAATAAATAAAAATAACTCTCTTCCTTGGTTGGGGCTACCCACTGGGCCACTGGCAGCTGAGCAGATGCTGAGACTTTGTAAAGCTGGGGTACCAGCCTGGCCCCTTCAGAGGGGCTTGGGTAGTGTGAACCGACTTGCAGCAAAGGGTAGAGAAGCACATGCTAATGCTGCCTGGGGGTTGATGAGGCCCCTGGTGGCAAGGCCGGGGAGTACAGCCTGCTCGGGTAAAAGCCAAAGCCATGGATTTCTTCACAAGGGTCCCAGACCCTCCCAAGGTGTCATCTTGAGGGCTTCGCTGGCCTTCCTTTGCCTGACTCTCCTGTTCATGCATTACCATCCCTCTAGTGCTGGCCCCTGTGTCCTTGGTGCCCAGGACCATGACATGACCTAGACTTGGTTGTGGTCTCAGAGAGGCTGAGTTTGGTGGTGAATACAGAGGTAATTGGAGGTAACTGGTAATTAGGCACAATGTGTATGAGGTGCTATGGAAACACGAGGATGCCAGGGAGACTTCTGCTCAGAGTTAAGCAGTAGGCCAAGCTGGAATGAGCTGATCAGCCCCGATGAGACCCAGAGGGCCCTCTTTCGGGATATGCAGTTAACACAGCCAGAGGTGGGCAGCAGGATAGATGGGTGCACAGAGAGAAATGAGCCTCTTCGATGTCCTCCCCAGGCCACATGCCTCCTCCTAGCCAAAGTAGTTTAGATTAATGGCTAGAGTCAAGCAGGCTTTGAGTCCATTCTCTGCCACTTGGTAGGCTTTGGCCTCTGGTGAGTGATATGTTATGTGATCCTTAGCCTCATTGCTTATGAAATGAGGGTTACAATGATAATGATACTTACTTCACCAGGTAACTGTGGAGGATTAGGTGTAGAGAGGCACATTGACCGAAGCTCAGTTCCTCACACATGGCAAACTCTCAGGAACATGCCTGCTGCTGTGAATTCACTGCCAGGGAAGTTGGCTGATTGGGTGGAAGGAGAGTGGAAGAGGGATTGAAATATACCAAGCACAGGGAGCAGAGGTGGCAGCTGTGGCTGCTGTGTCTGGCTCCATGCATGTGTCTGCACCGAGCCTGTGCCTCCTCTCGGTTGCTCCCTGCCCCAGACCAAGCTCAGGGCTTGGAGGCTGGTCTGAGCTGACCCACTCCTTTGAGGTGTGGGACTCCCACAGGTGACTCTGGCCCAGTGATGGCTCACAAGCCTGGTTGTCTCTTCCCTAGAGCAGTGCTGCAAAACCTCCTCTCAAATCCTCCTTCCTTTCCCCTTTGCTTTCACAGGTGTGACCCCCCTCCATTGGGATCTGTAGGGTATTTCTGCCCCTTATCCTTCTCAGCAAAGCTCTCATGCATCTAATTAGGTTGCAACTTCTGCTCATCAGAAGAACCAAAATGACACAAGAGGGTCTCTGGAGAAGAGTCCTATGGGGGTGGTCATAGATCCAGAAATAGGGTCCTGCAGCAGGTCACACAGGTGCTTAGGGTTTGGCAGTCCATGGGTCCTATCCTCTATGTGTGTGTGTGTGTGTGTGTGTGTGTGTGTGTGTGTGTTTTCCTGTGTGTACACAGCCCTGTAAACATGTATTTTTTGCTGCATTGACTACAGCCTAGCCAAAAAAAAAAAAATCTGTTCCTATTCAGTGAGCTCTCTTCAATCCTTAGGTCCATTCTTAGTACTCAGCTCTGCAGAAGTCCTTGGGGATAATAGATGCTCAGTCAAAATGAAACAAAACCGAGTGCCACCGAGTCTTGTATCTAGCTTAAGTTTTTCTTTGGACTGACTTTGTTTTCACACTTCAAATTTTAAATTGCATCATGTTAGATTATTTAAGCTTCTCGGTGCCTTGTTTTTGTGGCAGAAACATATATGTAGAGACATTTGTGTACATCTTTACACTCACACAGAAAAGTGGCCCTACTCTCGCTTCAGTAGCTACACTGGCTGGCAGACCCTTCGGCTTTCCTTCTTGCCTTTGCTGAGCTTTTCACCTTTTTCTTTTTCAGAAAGGAGCTTGGAGTTTCTCAGTGGAGCAGAACTGGATGAAAATCTTCCACCTCCACCTCCCAGCTCCTTCCCCCAATCTCTCCCTCCCTGCTCCACAAGATTGGGAAGCTGCAAACCCAACTCTTACATCAAACAGGAACTTGAAAAATACTTGGAGCAAAAACTGCTAACTGTGCATCCTTGCTCCGTGCTGGTGCTGATATTAAATCAGGAAATGGCACTGAACAGCCGTTCCAAACACAGAAACTGGGGTTGTCAACATAGAAACCAGAAGCAATCTCTAACAGGCGGAGGTGAAGGGACCTGGCATGAGGCCAGGCTGAGGGGCTGAAACCCAGGAAAGGATTCCTAAACTCCACTTGTCTGTGCTGTCTCTCCATTATTCAGAATGCAGTCAGTTTCTGATATTGAGAGATAAAAGAGAATTAAGCACGTTGTCTAAATATCTGTGGGATTCTCCTTTTCCTGTCCATAAATATTTATTGACCACCTACTATGTTCCTGGCAGGGAACCGAAAAAAGATGCCAGCCCATACAGAGATGATCTGCTAGCATCTAGGACAGAGCTCCAACTCTTTGACATGGCATTCAAGCCCCCCCGCCCCCCGCCCTGCTCAAGGTTGGATCTTACAAAAGCCTAGAGCTTTGTCTCCAACCTCCCCCAGTGTCCCCGGCAACACCTTCGTGCAGTCTCTTTCCTCAGACTGGTCTTTTCAGTAGTTCTCTGGCATTTGTATTTGACAAATTACTGCTTAACCTTCAAAGCCTTGGTCAAGTATCATCTTTTCTCTGCATATCTTTTAATCCAGTAATTCCACTTTTTGCTTTGCAGAAAAATGCTCACACAGGAGCTAAAAGGGGCATGTAAAATGCTGTTAGTGGCAACATTGTTGCAGTACTGAAGATTAGAAATGGTTTAACTGTCCATCAATATGGGACTGGATTAAAAAAAAACTACAGGGCATTCATTTCATGGAATGCTATGCATTCCTTAGAAAGGAAGAAGTAGTACTTGGGAGGCTGAGACAGGGAGAGGGTGAGTTTGGCCAGCCTGGTCTATCTAGTGAGACACTGTCTCAAAAAACCAAAAAGGAAAAAAAGAATGAATGAACAAAAGAGAGGAAGGAAGGAAGGAAGGAAGGAAGGAAGAAAGAAAGAAAGAAGGGAAGAAAGGAAGGAAGGAAGGAAGGAAGGAAGAAAGAAAGAAAGAAGGGAAGAAAGGAAGGAAGGAAGGGAGGAAGGAAGAACCAAACATATTGACACAGAAGTTGCTGAGCAAAAATAAAAAGCAAGCTGTAGCTCTGGACATAGATGTTCAAAACTATATTTTTGCATTTTTACAGTGGTCTTGTGTGTATCATTTTGTAAAAAATAAAGGGAAAACGAGACCAAGTGACCATAGTAGATCCTGGCTGACCTGAGCCTGGGCTTCGGCATAGTGGATAGCGTCATTCTCTCCATCAGCTGCAGGCAGCAGACCCCAGGGCAGTAGGAGAACCCCTTTCTCTAAGTTTGCTCCCCATGCTGTGAAGAACACGTGCTGGGAAGCGGGGCTGCAGAGCCCCGGAGAGCATCCAGACCAAGGAGAGGAAAGCAAGAAGGCCGGTGGTGCTGGGCTCAGATGGTGCAGATTCCCCGAACCGATCACTGGTCCTGGGAGGAAGGAGCGAGGCCTGGTTCAGGGATATTTGCTGTTAAAGAAGAAGCAAGCGGGCATTGGAGGGCAGGTGGGAAAGCCTCTGAGATAGCATTCGTGGTAATCATTTTGTTTGTTCGCTCATTCACTCATTCCGACGCTGTGACTGAATTCCTCGTGGCATGGCATTGCACTGTCTGCTGAGCACTGAGACTTCCTCCAGGAGCACACTGGGCCCTGTGTGGAAGAATTACCCAGGGAGCTTATTAAAATGTAAATTCCTGGGCTCTCCTAAGACCTGTAAAATCAGATTGCTGTGGTTCGAGAATCTGTGTCTTTAATACATTTTCTTAAGTGGAAAACCTTTAACTTAGTTGACCAAACAATTTCCTTTGAACTCTCTTGTGTTATTTCCTAAGGCTTCTCCCAAGCCTGAGATCACCCTATCGAGATGGAAGAAGGAAAGGCTATGACTCCAGTGTATATGATTTCCCAAGGATGACAAGGACTTTATCCAACCTCCAGGGACACCCAAGTCCTTCAGAGGTGTGAGAAGATTCACATACTACCTCTTCTGTCTAAGTCATTCAGAAACAACAGAAGACTCATTCTAGGAGTGTGCAAAAGCCCTGTGGCAGAGGACCTCTTAGGCTGTAGAAGAACTTCAAAAAGTCAGTATGATCGAAACGTTGTGAATAGTTAATGTAACGAGAGATGAGGTGGGAGAAGTTGGCAGGAGCAGATCACTCAGGGCCTGAAGGTCATGCTAAGGAGTTTAGTTCTTGTTCAAGTATCAAAGGAATTTGTATTTAAACCAGAGAGTGAAGGGGGTAGGTGGAATAATCAGAGTCATAGAGTCACATAACATGAAAACTGGTTCCATTTCTCTGTGGAGAAGCAGAGAATTTGGAGCTGGAGTCTTTACAGATGAGGGTGAAGGCACTAGGTGGGAAACCAGAGAGATCTTGAGATAGAGGGAGAGGAGGGTGATGGTTGGCCCCTGGGGGTGAAAGCCTTAGCCCTGGGAGCATGATGAGGTCTCAGGATGTCGAACGCTGGCTGTGAGGGGGTGGGGGAAGGGAGTTGCTCTGGTTACCCACCATGCACTGCGGCTTTGCGTGGCAGTCAGCTGCTCCTTCTCCTCTTCCTCTTCCTCTTCTCCCCACCCCCCCCATGATATTTAAGAGAATTGGGGATAGATGAATTGGGGATAAAGGCCAAACTCAGGCTAAAGGCAGGACCAAGGCTCAGAGTCAAGATCAGAGATCAGGCTGAGGCCAACGGTAAGGGACATCCAAGGATAGAGGGCTCTGGGATATTTCTCTTCTTTTCTTGCACCCCTCCCTTGGTTTCTCTCCAGCCCCCACAGTCAAAGAAGTGGAAAGGGGAAAAGAAGGAACCTAAGGGAGTGTGTGGCCATCCACAAGAAGACACATTAAATGGTGCCCTGAGGAGAGACTTGGTACTTGTTAGAGACTTCGCATTGACCTGAACAGAATCACTAATCCCATGGAGGGCTGGAAGTCCTGACATAGAGACAGCTGGTGAAGAACAGTGCTGACACTTGGATCTCCAGGCTGCTACCCACCCAAGACACAGAACCCCCACTTCACAGTGTTCAGAGCCCTCGACCTGGGGCCAGATGTTCCAGCTCATCACTTCCGGGCAACTACAAACAAACCACCAAACTGACTTTGTGTGAAATGAGGATAATCCTGCTACCCACCTCCTAGGGCAGCTGTGAGGACTGAGTGAATTGATGTGCACAGGACTTTCAGAGCACCGGTTTATATTCACATCTACCTACCTGCTGGCCACTCTCTATAAAGAGTGATAATAATAATTGCTGCCTCAAAGAGTCCTGAAAATTGAATGACAAAGTGAAAAATACAAGCTCTTGCAACTCGCCTTACAAACAAGAATGAATATCACTGTGGAATATCCCATCGATATTACTTCCTAGCAGTTATCTAATGCAGTGTTGTCCAACAGAAATAGAATGTAAGCCATACCTGTAATCTAAAATTTTCTGGAGTTGTATTAAAACAAAGAAAAAAGAAACAGGTATAATGCTTCTAACAATAAATTCCCATTCCCCAGTGTGTGTGTGTGTGTGTGTGTGTGTGTGTGTGTGTGTATGCCCATGCACACACACGAGTGTGTAGGAGTTCCCGGTCCCCCGGGGGGCAGCCAAGGAATGGACTCTGGCTTCTTACTGAGACCCACTGAGTCCTTTGAGTGCCCAAGGGTTACCAGGACCCAGCACTCCAAGTGTAACCTTGCAATCTGATGGACTTTGCATGGACCAAGGAAAAGTGGAAGTGACAGTTGCCTTTGGGAAAGAGGAAGAGGAAGGGCAGAAAAACATCTGGAAGTTCCCAGGGAGTGGGAGCAGCAGAAAAGCTTCCCACTGTGCTTTGGAAAAGGCAGTAGAGCCCTCGGGCTTCTTGGAAGAGACAGATGACACTAGATGTAGGTGATGAAGACATAGAATGCAGGTTCAAGGGAAGGGATCCTGTCCTCAATGCAGGACCTTCCCTAGAAGATATCAGCCTTGGGACCTCTAGTACCACCAGCCACTCTTAGTGACCCACAATAGTAGGACCCTGAAACCTACCAGACTCTAAGGCCAGGAGCTTCTCCCTCCTCAAACAACAGTAATAACAACACACTCTTCTGTAGGTCTCCAACCGCACCCCTGTGGGCACAGAGATGTTCAAACACCTGCAGCGCTCAGGGGAACCACGGGTGAACCAAGCACCTTCAGGGGGGACCTGGGGAAGAGAGAGTGTGGCTGTGGGGGGTACAGGTGGACACAGGTGGGCGCACAGCTCTCTAGAAGCCGGAGACAGCCCTGTGAACCCCACACTCGGGCTCTGCGATCCCTTAGCGAATGGCATCTTCCCCTGGCTCCAGACCACCCAAGGTGGCCCAGGCCCTAGGACGCGGATCCTGCAGGGGCCCTTCCATGGCCTCTTGTAATGAAAGATTCCGGACCAATAGCCCTGGTCAACCTGCGGTGGATAGGGAAAGGTGTGGCTTTGGGACAAAAACCTGAAATTGGAGTTTTGGCAGTTAGAGACAGCTGTCAGTAGAGGGGCTCTGGCCACCCCCAGTCCTCAGCTCTCCTTTGCAAGGCTTGCAGCTCACTGTGCCCAGTCTCCTGCCTCTTTCCCACAGCTTCCAATTCATCACTTCCCCCACCACCCCTTCTCTTTTTCTTTCAGCGCACTGAACTCACAGTCAGTGAATATGCAGTGCCTCTAACCCCACCTGTCTTTTAGGGGCCCTGTGGGCCTTCTCTGGCCCTGGCTGTGTATTTAGAACCCAGAGCCAGGAACGCGGATCCACAGCCCTGGTTCTGCAGGGAAAGCCAAAAGCCCTGGGGCTGCTCCACGACCTGCCCTGCGCAGAGCGAAGCAGGAGTCGGGACTGAGCAGCCCGGGAAGGAGATGCTGCCGCTGCCTTTCGAAGGCCTTTACTCGGGGCAACCTTCCAGTCTCGGCCACTCACCAGCAGCCTGGCTGGAGTGGAGTTTCTAGCATTTTTGGAGTTGGGGTAGTTGGGGGATGGGTAGAGGAGGGAGTGGCTACTGAGACAGCTGCAAACAAACGGAAATTTTTTAGGGGGTGCACCTAGGGACCATTGGAGATAGTCAAAGTCCTGGAGAAGGAAGTGACAGCAACAGAGACAGAGGCATGGGGACAAAGAGAGCCAGCCTGCTCAGACAAAGCACGAGTTCTAGAGACCCTGAGATTTCGGCCAGCGGCCCTCGGGGAGGTTTGAGACTCCAGAGCTGGGGCCTCAGGAATCCCCAGGGCCTCAACGGGACCACAGTCTCGAGACTCCGGTCTCCTTCATCGATGGCAGGGGCCCGGCAGACCCGAGAAGACGCGTGCGCTCGTGGTGTGTGTGGGGGGGGGCGGTTAGGGGATACGGCCATGCCCGCACTTTTTGGTGCGCACGCCGAGGGGCTGCAGCGACAGGCGTACTTTGGAGGCTGCGGATCCTTCGTGACCAGGAGGCAGGGCGCTGCCCGCTGTAGCTCTGTAGACCAGTGGTGCTAAGAACTGGTGAGTTTGTCCCTTCAGGGCGCCTGAGGACAGAACCATAGTCTGTATAGGCATGGAGGGTGGTCTCAAAATATTCTCAACTGAGCTGGCCTCCGAGCGCGCTCACCGAGCAAACGCAACGGGACACTTTCGGGGCTTTCGGGGCGGGTGGGCGTCCCCAGGGCTCAGCTTAGGCTGGGGCGCAACGGAACAGCCCAGGGGCTCTCTCCCCAGGCGGCCGAATCATTTCCGTGGGGACCGCGCTTCTCAAAGAGGGCCGAGAACCTTTTCCAAACATTACAGCTGCAGATCTAAATCTTTTGGTTCAAATTTTAGTTAAAATACATTCATTTTTATTAAACATAGGCGACAAGATCACCATCTACCCCAGCCTCCCCGTGGGCACAAGAGAAGAGAGGGCTTTCAGATTAACTGATGTCAAATATCTTTACTAACAGTTAAAAAAAAAAAAAAGTCTGGCTTCGTTCGCACCGGCGGCTCACCGGCCCCTACGGCGCGGATCATGCTGGTCCCGCGGGCAGCGGCCAGGGAAACTCACCCAGCGCACTCGCCTCCCGCCCTTCGCTGCGCGCCCAAAGCTGCAAAGCAGAAGGTGGCGTGGGAGGCGGGTCAGGTCTCCGGGTCCAGCGAATTCTCGATTTATCCACTTTCGGTGCCAGGACAGGGATCTGGAGAAAATCTCCTATCTTTGGCTACCCTGGCCCGGGACACGGAGGGTGTGCGGCGCCCGCCCCAGGGCCCTGTCTGAACGCCCAGGCTCTGCGCTCTCGTCTCCCCTGTGCGCTCTAGGGAGGTTTCCCGCACGACAGCCCCGGGCCCGCTCGCTGCGCGCCTCCACTTTTGGCCGTTGGGCCTCCCTCTCGCAGCACCTTTCCGCTCAGAGAACAGCCGACCTGCATCCCCGAAGGGAAGGCGGGGGCGAGGAACTGCAACCGGGGCGACCGGAGCAGGTATCAAGGCTAACTCCGAAGAAAGGACTAGAGGACCCATGCGTGGCTCGAGCGGAACCTGACCTGGCTCCGGTGCCAGTACACACACAGCCCGCCCTGTCGGTGGTCTCGGGTTGGGCCAGGTAAGGAGACCTGGCTGAGTCCGAAGCGCCGTCCGAGCCTCCCAGCAAAGTGCCGGGCAGTTGGGGCGCCTTTGCACACTGTGGCCACTTGGGGTCGCACTTTATGCCTGTTTGAGCCTGTGGGCTGCCGGCAGACACCCGGCTCTGCTTAATCTTTACAAAACGTTTAAACAAAAACAGGGTCCGTTCCCCAGCAGCCGAGAGCCACCGGGGCACTGTCCCGTGCTGGCCTCTGGCCCAAGCCTCGGAGCGGCGGAGGCTGCGTGCGTCTGGCTGGGGGAAGGGACTCAGAGCCTTTGGGCCGATTGTTTCTTCTCGGCCTTCGTCGTGAGCGCCTGGGGGTGGGGTGAACGCGGGGAGCAGCGAAGCCATGGAGTCTTAGCTCAGGCCCGGCCGCAGCTCCGGCCAGGAAGGGAACGGCCTCTCCCGGCCCAAGCAAGGTGCCTAGATTGAGAGTTGGGTCTAAACACAACTCTCGGAGCCCCAAACTCCTCCCTCCCCAACACAAACACGCGCGGATCTCCGGAAAACACAGGCAGCTCGGCTCACATCCACGCAGCCCGCCGCCGGGAGGACACAGAGCGTCGCCCACTGGGCGGGGGCCGCTTGGGAACAAAGCGCCCAGGAGGCGTCGTTCGGGGGCCCTTTCAGGGCCTCCTTGGGGGTGACCCGGCTGGGGCTGGGAGGGCGAGGAGTACTGAGGGAGGAGCGCGTGAAGAGGTGGTGGGGGGAGCAGCAGCTTGGCCCAGAGGCGTGGCGCGCGCGGAAGGCGAGCGCGCGGGGGCTCGGGTTGGAGGGTGTGGGGGTTGGGCCAGGCCCGGCCGTCCGACCCACTCCGCTCCGGTCCGCTGCCAGTCCTCGGCGGCTCCCGGGCCGCTCGGGCCGCCAGTCAGCTGACGCGGGGGGGGGGAGCTGTCAGGAGCGCCCCGCCCAGCACCGCTGGGCCGCTGGGGCCGCGCAGCCATTGGCCAGCGCGCCTGGCCGCCTGGGCCCCCGCGCCCCAGTGACATCAGGAAGGCGATAAAAGGCGGCGGCGGCGCCGAATCCTGCACAGCTGCACGGCCGGGCTGCGAGCGGCTGTGAGCGAGAGAGCCCTAGAGCGAGAGAGGTACAGAGCGAGCGGCGGGCGCTTGCCCCGCGCCTCCCCTCCGCCCACCCCACGCCTCGCTCGCCTCTCCACCTCTCCAGGTCCGGCTTGGCCCGGCTCGGTCCCGGTGCGGCCACAGCCCCTGAGCTCTGGGGCGGTACAGGCAGCCTCGGGACTCTCCAGCGAGCCGCCGCGTCCCCAGACAAAGGCTTGGCCAGCGGCCCCGGCCCGCTGCGCCCTCAGCTCCCCGCCTCCCCGGCTCGCCCGCCGCTCTTCGCCCCTGCTCTTGGCTCGGCGCGCCTCGGCCGGCCGTAAAGTTTCCCGGCGGTAGCGGCGGCGGAGCCTCGCGTCAGCGATGGCTGCGGAGCTGAGCATGGGGCCAGAGCTGCCCACCAGCCCGCTGGCCATGGAGTACGTCAACGACTTCGACCTGCTCAAGTTCGACGTGAAGAAGGAGCCTTTGGGGCGCGCGGAGCGCCCGGGCCGGCCCTGCACGCGCCTGCAGCCGGCCGGCTCGGTGTCGTCCACACCGCTCAGCACGCCGTGCAGCTCGGTTCCCTCTTCGCCCAGCTTCAGCCCGACTGAGCAGAAGACCCACCTGGAGGACCTGTACTGGATGGCGAGCAACTACCAGCAGATGAACCCTGAGGCGCTCAACCTGACACCCGAGGACGCGGTGGAGGCGCTCATCGGCTCGCACCCAGTGCCACAGCCGCTGCAGAGCTTCGACGGCTTCCGAGGCGCGCACCACCACCACCACCACCACCATCCCCCTCACCCGCATCCGCACCACGCGTACCCAGGCGCCGGCGTAGCCCACGATGAGCTGGGCCCCCACGCGCACCCGCATCATCACCACCACCACCAAGCGTCGCCGCCGCCGTCCAGCGCCGCCAGTCCGGCGCAGCAGCTGCCCACCAGCCACCCCGGGCCGGGTCCGCACGCGGCGGCAGCGGCCACGGCGGCGGGCGGCAACGGCAGCGTGGAGGATCGCTTTTCCGATGACCAGCTCGTGTCCATGTCAGTGCGTGAGTTGAACCGCCACCTGCGGGGCTTCACCAAGGACGAGGTGATCCGCCTGAAGCAGAAGCGGCGGACCCTGAAGAACCGGGGCTACGCCCAGTCGTGCAGGTATAAACGTGTCCAGCAGAAACACCACCTGGAGAATGAGAAGACGCAGCTCATTCAGCAGGTGGAGCAGCTTAAGCAGGAGGTGTCCCGGCTGGCCCGCGAGAGAGACGCCTACAAGGTCAAGTGCGAGAAACTCGCCAACTCCGGCTTCAGGGAGGCGGGCTCCACCAGCGACAGCCCCTCCTCTCCTGAGTTCTTTCTGTGAGTCGCAGCGGGTCCCGGCCCCCGCCCTTGCCCCGGACTCCCTGTCCCGGGTCCCCAGCCCTGGACTCCCCTGGACCTTGTCCCTGTCATGGCCCCAGCCTTGACCTGTTTGACGAGCGAGAGGGAGGAAGGGCAGGCGGGCCGCGGGCGACGGGCGGGAGCGCGGGAGGCAGGGGACTTTGGCTAAGGGGAGACTAGTGCACGCCAGCCACCGCCTCCTAGTCTCGAGCCGAGCCAGAGACGAGGGGGTGGGAGGTCCCGGAGCAACTTTTCTCCAGGCTGGAAGGCGGAGGCGTAGTACGGAGGATTCGCCAAGGCCGTCTGGAGACGCCCGGCTTTCCGAACTCTGAGAGTGCCGGGCCACTGCTTCGCTGTCGCTGTCCGGAGCTCAGTCCCTCCAGGAAGAGAGCAGAGGAGAGGAGAGGGGCCCTGGCGTCTCCGGCAGGCGCGAGGCCAGGTTGAGCGAAGGGCGATGAACAGACGGACCTCTCGGTCCAGAGTCCGGAGAACACTGGCTCTCAGCTGGGAGACGCGGTCCTCGGTTAGGACGTTTCGCGCGCAAATCTCATCCGTTTCATTGCCTGCTCAATTATATAGAAAAATACGAAAATCTGCATTAAAAATATTAATCCTGCATGCTGGACATGTATGGTAATAATTTCTATTTTGTACCATTTTCTTGTTTAACTTTAGCATGTTGTTGATCATGGATCATAACCCCCTGTTTCTTTGGGTGAGAAGGGATCGCAGTTGGGAAACTCCAGCGGCTGCCAGCCGAGCCGGGATTCAGCCCTGGCTGCTGGTTTGTAAATACCTGCCCTCCACCAAACCGCACAGAGAACACGGCAGCGAGCTGAGTGTCTTTGTTTGGGTTTATTATTATGGCATTTTCTTTGTAAGCCCCCCCCCCCAAAAAAAGGAAAGAAAAAGTTCCAGGCATTTCGCATCCGACACCAACTTTGTCTCGGGGCAACCGTGGCAGTTTCACGTTTTATTCTGTCCAGATCCTATTCTGTTCTCTTTTCCCTCCGTTTTAGTTTTGTTGGCTTTGAGGGAAAGAGTACAAGGACAGGACAACTGTGGAGTTCCACACCTCTTCCTCAATCCCTGCCTAGTTTCTTGACCAAATTGACACCCCTAATAAGAGAGGGAAGGAAAACAGACCATCTTCTCTGCTTTTTATTGTAACCAGTTTCACCCCAGGGTCCCTCTGGAATTCTCCAGGCCGGCGGTTAATTGCAAGGGCCCCCAGCCGCTCCTTGGGTGAGAAGTTTTGCCATCCTTCACACTGGTCAGTGGTGACCAGAGCTTGAATTGAACCAACTGCCACATTTAGGATGTATCAGAAAACCAAACATTGGCAAGTGATTGCAGCTTTCAAGTGTGTTCTTTAGACCAGTGCATTATGTGTTTCTTTCCCTGCTTTTGAGATTGCAGGAAAAGTTATTGGTGGTATTCCTCTCCTCCTCCTTTGGTTGTATAGTAGTTATAGGGGAGATCTGGGTGTTTTTCTTTATTATTACTTTTTTTCTGCAGGTCAGTAAAAGGATTTAAGTTGCACTGACAAAATATACCAAAATTAAAGCATATTTTTTAGTTCCCATTTGAAATTGCTGGCGCTGCTGGCCAGATGCATTTTTGAGTTTGTATTAGTTGATAAATTAACAGTAATAACAAGATTGTATGAACCGCATGGTGCTTGCAGTTTTAAATATTGTGGATATTCGTCCTGCATCAGAAACGAGCTTTGGTTTTTACGGATTCAACTGTGTTGAAATCAAACTTACTGCAACAGAAATTGTTTTTATTTCATGTAAAATAAGGGATCAATTTCAAACCCTGCTTATGATATGAAAATATTAAAACCTAGTCTATTGTAGTTTTATTCAGACTGGTTTCTGTTTTTGGTTATTAAAATGGTTTCCTATTTTGCTTATTAAAACCATGGAAATGGTGTTTATTTAGAGGACTCTGTGTTCGCATGACTTTGACTCTCTTTTCTTACTTCTTCAAGAGTTGTACCAACTTTGGAGCACACCTGCCTAATGGAAAGGTAAACAAGTCCAGGCACATCTCCCCATTGAGTGCGTGGAGACTCCAGTATGTTCTCTGTTTTTTTACCCTAAGTCCAAACCCTGGTCAAGAGTCAGTTTGTGAGCTGAGATGATGCAGGTCTGAAAGGCACAGGGTCCCTGGGCATGTGGCACATCCCACTTTTTCAGCGAATTCTGCTTGGTGATCAGGGCTGGCAGGCCTGCAGGCCTGCTGGGTGTTTGAGCTGGTAAATGACAGAAACCAGGAAGCCAAGACTTGGTGCCTTGATAAGAAACCAGGTCTTTTTGGTGCTAAGGGCTGTCCTTGCTTTCCTGCCTGGGTTTAGAGTGTAGACACTCTCCTGCCCGGCACCCCAGAGCCAGAATACCTGTTCTGAATGGAGACCTGGCCGCCTCGCCTCTCTCAATCAAGGTTGGTAGAAGCAGGTGAAACCCAGCAACAGATCTTGGAGTGCTCAATCCTCCAGACAGGAAGCCCTTCCTTGACTCTTTTTGGGGTCTACTACGTTCAAGGCAGCTCAGACTGAGAGCCTTCAGACCCACAGAAAGGCACTGCACATCCAGTCTGGGCTTCAGTGCCTCCTCAAATTGAGGGTCAGAGAGGTTTGGGTCATCTTTTGGCACAGCAGCTCTTACTGCTGCCTGAAGACGCCCGACCTGGAGGAAGCCCGAGACCCTTTATTTTTCCTGATTCCTAGAAGAGCACCTAGATTGCCCTAAACTCCTCTCAGCCTCCTTGGAATCCAGTTTATAATTTAGGATTAGCCTGGGATACCTCTGGGAGGTGGAGTAGAACTGACAAACCTCAGAAGAGTTCTGCACTCTCTTGGCAATAGCTGACTCCCATGACTTCCCAGCCCCCAGCCTAAGATTCTCTGGCTCCAGGTTCCTAACTGGAAATTTCAGGACCTGAGGGTGAGGCATTGGAACCCCTGGCTGTGTTGCCCAAGCTTAGGACCTGAGCTGGGAGGGACCTGGGAGAGGGAAGCAGAGAGTGAAACTCACCGGGGATAGATTTTAGCCTGGATCCCTGGAGACTGGGAAGGTGGGAGCGGTAAATGGGGTGGGGGGAAGAGTGAGACTTAGAAATAAATATACAAATATTAACAATGATTTACACACATGCTTGGTGCTTGGTGTTCAGTAGGAAAGAAGCTTGGGATTCTAGCTCAAATTTACTTCCAAAATCCAGTGTGTCTCACCAACCGAAAGATCTGTCTGGCAGAGGCTTCCTTCCAGCTGTGACTGGAGGAGGTAGTGCAAAGCCAGGTTGCCGGGTGACTTTGCCCTTGTGTGCACTAAGAAGAACCGGGGTCTGATAGTTTTATAGATTCGTATGCAACTTCTACACAGAACATACCCAGATGTACAGATGCATCCCCTGTGGGGCGAAAGAGGACTCTGGCCCTGCCAAGACCAGGGGAGGATCACAGACTGGTGGTGTCGGAGGCCCTAAGCCCGGTGCCCTGACTCCCTGCAGCACCCTCCACTTCAGAGTCCTTTAGACTTTGTCTGAGAAAAGCCTCCGCAGTGGGAGGGAGAGTTGCAAACTCTCCTTGGTCTCTTCCCCAGGGCACAGAAACCCAAACCCACTCAGTAACAGATACCATCCCTTTGCATCCAGAAGGACGAGGTGGCTCAGGTCAGTTCAGAGTGGTCAAGTGCATCTTGGAAAAGATAATTCCATGACACAGCCCTAGCAACACGTGGAAACACAGACACCCACTCCCTGCACCCACACTGACGCCCACTCAGGCTCTGCAGACCCTGTTCCAAGCCAGCAATCCACCACCAGCCTGCTCGGGACACAGGCAAGCGGGAGAGCCAGCCAGAGCCGGGCACAGTGCAGCAACCCCCTTCCGGAGCCTCGAAGGCGTGTTCCTGCAGCAGGCGGCAAGCCCTGGCCCCGTCTCCACCCGCAGCCTGCCTTTGCGACCCGCCGCATTGCCCTGACCCGGCGCCCACAAGTCCAGGAAAAGAGAAGTAATTCCCCGAGCACCTCCAGCTTGGCGCGCCTCCGCGGTAGCCTGCAATCTTCATCCACCTTTCCAACTCCTGCCGCTCCCGGTGGCTCTCAGGTACCGCCTGATCCGAGGCTTACGTCCCGGGGGCGGGGCGGGCGGGGGGCTCCAGCGACAGGAGTCTTCCAAGCCTGCTCTGGTCCCAGGTAGACAGGCTGGCTGGCGCCTGCACCCAGAGACGCACGCGGAGGCAGACACCGACCCCGCGACGCACGCGGGGCACACGCAGGCTCCGGGGATTTGGCTCTATTTCGGGCCGTGCTCCTTGCTGGGCAGCCAGTCGCGCTGGGTCGGGTGCGAAGCCCTCTTCCTGCCATCCTGTATCTTACGGGGGTTCGAGACCCTTCTTCGAGGCGTTTCGGGGAAGGCGCTGAGGCTTCTCACAACCTCGGCAGGGATCAGCCCCTTCCCTTGCCTCCTGCAGGCAAGCCCGGGCCCATCTCCACAGCAGCCTGCGGTCCACTGCGCGATGCCTCTACCCGACCAGGCGCTCACAAGTCCAGGAAAAGAGAAGTGGGTCCGCCGGAGGATTCCTTCCTTCCTTCCTTCCTTCCTTCCTTCCTTCCTTCCTTCCTTCCTTCCTTCCTCTCTTTCTCTTCCTTCCTTCCTCCTTGCTTTTTTTCTCCTTCCTCCCTCCTTCCCTTCTTTCTTCCCTTCCTTTTTTCTACCCTCCTTTCTTCCCTTCCTTCCTTCTTTCTCCTTCCCTCCCCCTTTCTTCCCCTTTCTTCCTGTCCTCTCCCTCACCACTCACCATTCCCCATTCCTTTAGCCCTTCCTTCCTAACCTCTTATTTCAGAAAAATTTCTCATTCTGTTTGTTTTTTCTTCTGCCTTTTATCGCCCGCTGCCTGGTGGGGAAAGGCTATAGAGCAGGTCCAGTGGTGTCCGAGAGAGCAGGGAGGAACGAGAGGTTGGCGGAGGTCTGCAGTCCCCAGAGCTGCTGGCAGTTAATTTGGACCCCTGCCTGGACTCCTTCAGCTCTCCAGCCTTTTCCTTTTTTCTCCTGGCCAGCATCAAGGGTGGCTGGGGGCCAGCAGGGAGCAGTGTCCCTCTGGCCAGCAAGGGCCAACTCTGTGATGAGGTTTGCTGGGAAGCCGAGGCTGGCTGTGCATCTAGAGCCTTCTTTCAGTCCCAGAGAGGCTCCCACATCCCCTGGCCTCTGGTCATTCCTGTGGCAGGACAGTCTTCTGCTTACTAGAGGGCATGCATTTCCTACCTACAATGCCTGTGCCCGCCAGGTGACACTCTTGCTGGTAGCTGCCAGGAACAATACCAGATATACCAGGCTGGTCCCTTGGATTCCGCTGTGACCTGGAGTTAAAGTGCCTGCCACCCAGGCAAACCCCTTACTCCCTCACTGCCCTGTCTGCAGGACGCTAGAAACGTCAGGTTTTGAGTTTCTAGTCCTTCCCGGGCTGGCTTTCAGTTGCAAAACTTGGGCTTTTTTCTACTCTGAAAGGAAAACCCAGAGCTGACTTGGGGAGTAACTGCCACTCTTTCCTCTGCAGCCTGCAGACTGAAAGCCTAGCCTTTCCTCCCAGAGATAGTTGGGTTTAGACCTGTTATATAAGGAATCCTTTTTCCCTTACTCAAATAAAAGTCCTCAAAGGGTGCATCCTGTATGCAGCATCCTTTCCGTAGCAGCCCTCCCTCCGGAAAGAAGTCAGTCTGGCTGGAAGAGCTTCTTCAGGCTGGTAACTAGCTCAGCACGCTTTGACGACATTCCAGCTGCAGCGAAGTGAGAGTCCTGGGTGCAGGGTGTATCTAGCCTGCGGAAGCAGCCACTTCTGGGCTTCCAAGGCTGAGGCTTTCCTGGCTGAAGAAGTCTAGGCTCTTTTTGAACAGGAAGCGACTGCTGCAGAATTTCATGCTTTCCATAGTTCCTATGCTGGGAGCAGGTCTCAAGGCCAAGGAAAGCACCTTTGCTAGCAGAGCAGCACCCATTCTCTAAGTCCCCATAGGTCTCCTCAGCTGGATTGCCCTCCTTCAAACACCTTCACCTGGCACTACCTGGATCCTTCCTCCTCCTCTTCCTCTTCTTCCTTCTCCCCCTCCTCTTTCTTCTCCTCCACCACCTTTCTCTCCTTCATTAGTTTCCATGCCTTGCACTTCTTAGTCTTTTTAACGCTTTTCTCCATTGTCCTATGCATGTTATTTTAAATAGTGCTTTTAAATAAGAAGGTCAGAGCTAATGTTCTCCCTTGGAAGAAATTAACTGTATGAGAAAAACTGCTGCTCCCATACAGGGAAGCCATCTAAATTAATAATGAGGATTTGTTTCAAGCAAAACTCAGTTTTTGTGGCCTCTCTGAATTCTTTGCATGTGGAAGTTACTTTCATGTAAAAAAAAGAAAAGAAAAGAAAAAAAAGAATGGCAGCTACTCACTGTGCATTCTGTTTTATTTGTCTCAAAAAGGGGATTCTGTTTTGGGGGTACAGGGGCAGCTACAGAGATAGTGGGAAGAGGTCTGGAATTTTCTGGAAGGATCAGCCACTTGTAGCATTGGAAGAGAGATTAAAGAACACAGATCAACATTTATATTGCTGCATTTCTCTTTTTGGATCTTTGTGCATCTTCCCAGGGTTGAGACTTCTTCCAATAGAGGATGAGGGTGGGATGCTAGAGGGGCTCATTTCAGAGTTTGGAGCCTGGAGGAGGGATTGATCCTGGCCAATGCCTCCATTAAATCTAGGAGCTGAGGCTCCCCTCGGGCACTCCCACTCTCATTTCCTTGTTTCTTCTGATCTGCCACCTTTGCGGTCCTTTCTCTGAGGCTGTTACAGGCCCCTGAGGCTTGCTTGGGAGAGTCCATGGCCCTGGGCTGGCCTGGAGGCAGCTTTGCCTTTCCTCAGTGGGCAGAGACCTGCTGCACTTCCCAGGGCAGG